GTTATTATAGGCTTGAGGGTTTTGTGTGTGTAGTTTCGTAAACCGCTGATAAAGACAACAAAGAGGAATTATGCAAATTATACTTAACGTACATAACTTGTAAAATATTTAAAAGTTTCTAGCATGATGCATGACAGCTTGAATTAGAGTTTATGACAAAAATATGTAATTTTGGTAGATTGAACAACAAGATACTGCATTTTTTCTCTATCAAATCTTTTATAAAAAAACTATTCGAAGACACTAGTACTTCTGGACATATCGGGACACTCACTCCTACATCTTTGGCCGATATGTACATCTAATAACATTTAAGAAAAACAACACCTTCGCCCAAAATGGAAAAACAAACGTAATGAAACATCACCAAAAAACTACAGAAATCATAATTGAGTTTTAAGTTCTTAGATATATTTTACACCTGATGATGGTTTTATAAAAACCGAAACATGTTGTGTAAATGTTCCGAAATGTAAATCGATCAATCGATATGGAACATGAATGATATTTTATTATCTTAATTATAAGAAATTTTAAATAAAATTATATTGTGATCAGACGGATTAAAACAAATAATTGATATAATATTCACAATATGACGAAATTACACTATCTTAAAAAAAACTACACAATTTTTCGAAAAATATACGTAAACATTTTAGCTTAAGGAATACACTACAATTTTAGTAGTACTGCCACGTTGAAATATATAACTGCTTACAGTTGTCCACTTTGAAACTAGCGATTTCACAGGAATCCCCCTTATGATAAAACACAGACTGAGTATGTTTGAGAAAAGAGTACTTAGGAGAATATCTGGGTCTAAGATTTAGAAAGTTGCATGAGAAAATTACATGGTGAAGAGGATCATAATTTATACTTCTAATAGGTTTATGAAACCAAACAGAATGCGATGGGCGGGAAATGTAGAACGTATGTGGGGAGATGGAAACTGTTTACAGAGTTTTGGTTGGGAAAAATCTGTGGTTAAGACACCACCAAGAAAATAGGGCACAGATGGGAGGGCAATACTGAAACATTTTAAGTAAATCGGTTGGGAGGTTGTGGACTGGATTAATCTGGCTCAGCACAAGGTCCAGTGGCGGGATCTTTTGAACACGGTAATGAACCTTGTGCTTTCATAAAAGGAGAAGCATTTCTTGCCCACCTAAGTGACTATTTATTATCTCAAGAAAGAGACCGTTCCACGGTGTTTGAAAAATAGAAAGGGGGATAATTTGAGAAAGTGTTGTGTATGCACTTGGTTTTACATCCCCCACCTGTAATTTAGGGCTGTCATAAACGTATGTTGAACAACACTTTGCTTTTGATCAGAATTGACCTTCATGGTTCATGAATATACATTGGATTCTGAAATGACAGCAAAATGCAAATTTATAGTGCTTATATGAATTACAAATAAAGGTATACTCCATATTTGATGATCCAATGTGCGTATGTGTTTGGTTGAGTTGTTAGAATCAAGTTTTGAAGCACCACCAGCAGAGTTCAGCACATACGGGTTATTCTGTTGGTTCTAAAATTGGTTTCTAGATGGCTCGAGGGTAGCGATATGCAACTTCGTCTTGGTCCAATTCTTATTGCTTACTGATTGAGATGTTACAAATCACGTTTCATCCCAAAATGAGCATTTGCACTTGAGACTTATTGCGTTGGTTATGAAATCTAACATGGCACAACACTGCACTCTGGCTTAATTCATTGCTGCAGTCTGGGTTTGCGCCGCCAGACCGATAAAATTGGAGGAATGTAAAATAAATACAAACTCTGTTGCCGTTGGTCAGATTGTCAATGAGGCATTCTGAAGAGGTCGTACGTGTTTACCTGAGAAACGTTGGAGTGTCTACTACGCCTGATATTTTGATCATGTAGTCAGAGGGCAGCCCACTGTCATACTGCAAAACTGGAGCCGAATCGGAGGGTAACAATCGACTGGGACCTCTTGTTAGTACCATATTCACCAGGGGCTTTCATGTTTATCCGTACTGATTACTGAGCGGTTAAAATAATTTTTTAGCAACAGCAACAGTGTTACTTACTTCCGGCTTACGTTAGTTCTGACATCTGCTAGTAGATGTCGGGTGTCGCAACGTTCCAATACTCAATCCGCGAACGTTTAAATACGATGGAAGGACACACAACATTCAGGATTTCAGGATTTCTGAATATTTTCCTTATCGTTTTATATTTTCTTTATTTTTATTTCTCTGCTTAGCTCTTTGATTCCATTATAAATGGATCGAACCAAGTCTTATTTATTATATGTTTTGCAAGGGATATGAGAGATTTTGTTCTTTGTTCTCGTCATGGCATAAGGCCTGCAAAAGATTTGTTTCGGATATAATGAGAACATACTGTATGTATCGGCTTGTACGTACTTATAGTAGCAAACCCCACAGATTCTTAAAGGCTTATGCACAAAGTTTTCTGTGATGAGATTTTTTCGAAGTAATACATACACATGTATTTGGGTTTCGCGTAAAACAGGGGTTGCATCTGACGAAAATTTCTTGATATTAATATGTAATACTAGATTTTATTTCAATTCATCCATTAGTTTCGGACATGAAATATGCGAACAGCCAAGCACGATGTCCCTATCATACGTCAATTTTATACACTTTTTGCAAAGAACCACAAGTGAAATTTAGTGTGTGGGGGGGAGTCCTCGTATTTTAATTTTCAAAAATAAATGGAGTCTTGGAGTGAACCCTCTTAAGGACATATTTTCTCTCTCTTACAAAGTACTACCCCTCCCCCCTTTAATATTTCACTCGCCGTATTTTCTCCACTCTTGCTATTATAAGACCTCCTCTTGCCTGTCGAATCCTATTACCAATTCCTAAAATTAACTACTGCATTTTAAATTTTTCCCAACGGGTAATTAACTGCCAGTAAGTTAAAAGGGAGCATTTTGATACTTAACGCAATGACATAGTACAGAAAATTGTAAAGCTGGGCGATGAAGGCAGCAAGCATCTCTGAAACGTCGGTAAACGTCTACCAGACTTCATGTAGACAAGTTTTTCACTTGACAAATTCTCCTTCATTACGTGGTTCTTCCTGCCTCTTTGACATTGAATTATGAGGTCAGTAGGAGGACGAGAATAAGAAGTATGTGAATGATAAGAATTAAATAGGAAGACGGTGACGGAGGAAAAGGAGAGAAGTAACTGGAAAGAACATGAAGAGAGATGAAGAAGGAGACCGAAGGAATATGAATTGGACGTCAGGCTGAGGACTGGATTCACGCTGGCTCAAAGCAGGGTCGAGTCGCAGGCTCTTTTCAACACAGTAATGAATCTTCGTGTTTCATACGAGGCGAGGCGAGAAAACTCTCCCTTGCTTAGCGACTGCCAGCTTTTCAACGACGATGCTGATCCGTGGAGTTAAGAAAGCAGACGTTTATGAAGGCCAGGAAGAATAAATTGTGACGCTCGGGACAGGCTTGTGGTATAAAATGTATAGAGTTAACGTCGTATATCCGAAGCGACATTTGCGAGCGAAACAGTTTTTTTGTGAAGAAGTAATGCGATTCTGGTACTGTCTGCGGGAAGGGTTTGTTCAGGTTGTGCCCCTACGGGAATACCAGCCCTGACAGGTGGTCAACATTCCCTGGGGGCAAGTACACAGATTCGCCGCAGTTGAATACACACACACTAACAATTCAATTAGTAGAGTATCTGTGAAACCGTATGTCATCTGTTTGGTTAGCCACAAATGTGATTTTTGTCATGCGCCGTCTGTGTGTTTGCCTTGTGAAGCCGGTGGTTCGTAATTCACGTAATGGATTCTGCGGAAGAAGGGACACGGTGCATCAAGTGCGTACTGCCATATTATCCATATTCTGAGTAACGGCAGCCTGTAGTATTTTTTATTAAAAATACAAGTATTAATTACTGAACTTTTCACGGCGGTGAAGATTTCGATGTTGGTCTTCTGGGTAGTAACGCCGTGTGGACCTGTACGTAGATATGAGCGTTTCAGAGAAACATATGTGTACACGTGCTACATGTAACGCCAATCTCATCCTCTTAGATCTGATCACACTAGAAAGAGGCCTGTGCCAAGAATAAAACTTATGTTCTTTATTATGTAAATTTCTCAAGTAATTAGTGACCACGTCCTCATAGCTTTGTTGTTAAATGACCTTAAATACGTCATAATCTCAGGAAATGTAACAACTACGTTCCTATTCGTAGAGACATTTTGTTTCTCCTTAGTAATTTTAAAGAGTCTTATGAAACTCATAGGAGAAATTTTTCTTTACGAGAGCAAAGTCTTTAGCAGTAACAAAAGAAAGTAAAGCTTTTTAAGCAAGTTATAAGGAAGAAAGTGATAAGTTCTGCGAAGATACACAGATGCGTCGTTTTAATAAAATCTAGATTGAGATTAGTCACACAAGATAAAATTTGAGTAAAAATTAATAGCTTCTATGGACATATCTGAATCACTTGAATTTGGCCAAGACTTCAAAACACAACACGACCGTCCTTTTAAGACATAAAACTAATTTCTTACAATTAATGTAATTGTTTTTAACTGAGACGAAATGCAACAAGAAAGGTTTACATCACATATCATGAAGTATAAATAACTACCAAATAAACGTCCTTCACACACATAATTAAAATTCCTCATAAAAATTAAAGTTAAAAGTAGAATTTTCTTCTGTGTCTGAGTACTTCGGTCTGAAGGCGTGTGGGAGACTTAAGTTAAACTCCACACATTCTTGATCTTGGCAGTAAATAGGCTTGATTTCACGTCCAACTCGTTCTTGTTTGTGACGTAACTCTGACTCGGACCCGCGGCTCGCCTGGACACAGTGCTGGCGAAGAAGAATCCTACCCCAACCTGTAGTTCCTAATTCATATTATGACTGAGGATGTAGTCTGATGTGATAACTCTGGTTCATCGACATGTTCGCAGGTTAGCTATGTTACAGTTGATAAACTAGGACGTAGAACACCGTGAGAGTGTACCAACCCAACGTGAAGAATGAAAGGGAGAAGGTACCGGGATAAACGAAGAAAGTCTACAAGCTGGTGTAACAGGAAGAACGGGTGGGTAAAGAGTAGGTAGAGAAAAGGCCGGCATTTGGCATCTTCCGAAAAGTCTGCACGACACCGAAACTTAGAACTTCATCATCCTCACCGCCATATAAACCTTAAATCTCACATTTTAACACTGTTCTGCCATCTATATCATAATGTTTCAAGTAACATCTTTCCCAAAGACATCGCATTCATCTCTAACACCCTCCGTAGACCGGATGCGCCTACATATTCACACTTTAATTCAGCTGAATATCGGCAAATCGTGCCTCTATCTGAATATTGAACCCGTTTGCTGGTTTCAGTACAACTCCAGACTCCAAGTCGTTGATTAGGGTGCTGATCCCGCCGACAGTCTGAACGATACGAAATCGCCTCAGAATGGTGGACAGCATCGTTTTAGCCTCCATGATTCCAAATTTATATGCGACACACATCCTGCGACCAGCCCCAAAAGGTATGTAAGCGTATGGATGTCTACCGAGGCAGTTTTCAGGTGAGAAACGCTCCGGATCGAAACGCTCGGGGTCGGGGAAATATTGCGGGTTCCGGTGAGTTGTGTATGTTACCACCATGGAGTAGCAACCGGCTGGCAGGACGTAGCCGTTCCCCAGGTCAGTTTCCTTCTCGACTTTGCGGAAAAGATATGGAATCGGTGGAAAGAGACGCAATGCTTCTTTGATTACCTGCAAAGAAACGTTCTCGTGTAAGATTTGTCGTGTATTTTGGATAATAAAGTACGTTCATCGATAAAAGTTAATAATGCAACTGCCACTTCCTGCTTCCCAACTGGAGTTGCATGGCTCACCGAAAGGTGATACTAGGCATCTCAGGACCAGCTATGTCTGAGGAAAGACCAGAGTGGGAATAATTTTTCCGTACATTAACCTGATGACGGAGACAAACCCAGTCTTCGAAACTCTGTTGGACAATTTCCGAAAGCAACAGTCGACTTGATCGCAACACATCGTTGTCAGAACCCTTTAGATTCATCCAGTGTAAAGGTTTAATTACCTGCTCAAGATACGGCATGTGAGGAAGATCTTCGGAAGTAACAGGTCTGTGGATGTCGTCGCCAAAGACAATCTTCTGCTCCTCTACGACCCGTTCCTGGATGTCCTGGTGCACTCCCAGGAGAGAGAGCACGTAGCAACAAGTAGTTGCTGTAGTCTCGGATCCAGCCGACACGATCGTCACCACTTCGTCGTGGATCTCATCAGGAGTCAGCTGCTCATCCTCTATCAAAAGATCCAACAGAGACAATTTCTTCCTTTTCACAGACTGGAGATCCTCAACTTGTGTCTTCTGACGCCCACTTGCATGAAACTTCGCTAACTTCTCTGAAACCACTTGTTGTGCATTTCCGTGCAGATATTCTAAAGTAGCTGCTTGTTCCTTACCTAACCGAGTCAAATTAAAAATCCAGTCAATGGACAGCCACGGGCGCATGAATCTCTCAGATAATAACTGAAGGGATCTTAAAACATTTCGAACATATTTCCCGTCGTCATCTAATTGTGCATTTACAGTAGTTCCCATAGCTGTTTCGCAAATAACATCCAGAGTACAAAGACTAATAAGTGGGTAAATGTTAAACGCAGTTTCATTGCAATTATTACGCATTTTACTCACTAAAATGGCACTATTTTTAGTAAAATTTTCAACAAATTGATCTAAAACATTGTTGTGGAAAGTCGATGATATTATTTTGCGATGAATTCTCCATGTATCACCATCTGACATTAATAAACCATTTCTAAAGAAAGGTTTACCAACTTTGGTGACATATCCTGTACGTCTTATGAAATTCTTGTTGCCCAGTATCTTTTCCAAAGCAACAGGGTTAGACAAGAGTACGAACAGATCCTGTCCGATCCACAGCTTAAATATGGAGCCATGTTTGTCTACCATCTGTATGATCCTCTGGAAGAATTGGATCAAGTCGCAGCCCGCGAACGTCAGTAGGTTACCAACCAATGGGATTGGTCTCGGTCCTGGAAGTTTTGCAGCCAGTTCCCACAGGCGTCGTTTGGTCCAGCAGAACACCAGAAAAGATACAATAGCGATTGTCATCAGGAAAACTGACAAGATTTTCCGCAAAGTCTCGCCCGTACCCCGCTCCTGGGAAGCAGATGTAAAAGACTGCATATCCATCACCCCACCTACAGAATGGCACAAGATTAAAGGTCGTGAAAGCAAAAAGTCGATCTTTGTAACATCAAGAATAATATAAGTGTAAATACAGTTAACTTAGTGGTGTAGTGGTTGGCATTTATACTCCGTATTCCTGATCTAGTGTTCAAATCTGCGTCCGTCAAACATCTAAACTAATTGAGGTATTTCAGATTTACTTTGACTATACGAGAAAGCTAGGATAAATAAGCCTATGAAACAGAATATATCTTGTGGTAAGATAATTACAGTGTTAATAAATGCCCACCACTGAACCCTATCATGTGACAGATAGATCCATTCCTCAACATCACACTCAGTTTCTTAAAAGTAAAATTTAATATTATCTTCCCTTCTACGCCTAGAACTTGCAAATTGTTTTATTTCTATACTACCTTCTCAACTGTAGACTTAAATGTGAATGGTTGATTGGAAGTTCGTGGGATGAAACTGCCATGGTTTACTCTGATATACTATCTTAAAACACTGTCACCAGATATCATTAAAGTTATAAAAAAGGATAAATGAGAAGGTCAGGACATGTAGCTTTCTATGAGGATGGAAGTGAATTAAACTAGCTAGGCTCTTGTCCATCGACGAGCTTTGATATTGGTGGTGTTAAACCTTTGATTCCGCTATCAGAGGACAAGTTTATAGGACGTCTGAAGAAAACATTTGAAAAATTAGCCCCAAACTAAGGACTTAGAATTCAGACACTTCATTATAAATAGAGGCAGGGTAGCTCAGTACAGTTTATGGCTACTGACTAAATTATTTGAGTTCGTTTCCCGGCAGAGGTAGATATTTCTTTACCGTCGCTTTTAGACCGGCTCCCGGTTCCTCCCAGCCTCCGGGCCATTAGTCGTAAATCATCCGAAGCGTGAAACTGATCCGTTATTTGTACAGGTGTAAATGTTAAGAATGCGTACGGCTGTACTTAAAGTTATCCATAAGTCTGTGTAGCGTGATGTCTAAGCACAAGGAGCAATGATTATTTTCATATTACTAAATTTGTACGACCCGGCAATGCAAGAGCTCGGATCGCCTGGGTGGGAGGCAAGGAGGCATACACGTAACACAGCACAAACACTGGCTTTAATGTCTGTGTACCTGTGATGGCATCACGTAACATACCGGTTTAGGCAGATATCCTGATGAAACTTTACGACGGGTCATTCGCTTCAAAGTGATGTTAATTGCCTCTCAGGAGTGAGGACTCGATTACACAAGCGTTTGAATGCATTTGGGAACAGTGTTCTGAACTAAGACAGAGAAAGTTAGAAGGTTGGAGAAGTTTACATACTGTGGAGTTTCGTAATTTATAATCTTAAGCAAATATGTATTTGGCTGATTACATCAACAAGACTGAGACGAGTGTGACATTTGTTATGAATAGGAGAAATGCACGAAAAATATTTGTTAGAAAGCCAGATGTGAAGTGTACACTTGGAAGACCAGGAAGTAGTTTGAAGAATATTAAAATTTTGCTCGGAGGGATTAAGAAAATCCACGAACAACTTCAGTTAGGTTAGCTGATCTCCCTGTTGAGATTCGAACCAGTTACTTGTGAACAGAAGTCAGAAGCTTAGCCACTTGAGACAGCCGACTCCGTAAATAATCGTGCTTGACCGTGCCAGTTAAAAGAGCTCTAACGGTACAGACGTTTATCTAATCGCATTAAACAAATTTAGAACGAATCAAATGATTTATATTACATTTGATGTTGGAGAATTTTGTGAAATATTTTGTGTCCATTTCAGCTGTCGTTTAGATCGGACATTTTTAACGACCACTTTACACAAGCATATAGATTTTTTTTACTTATTCTACATGAATACAAGTGTTTGAATTATTTTAGCAAAATATCACAGTTTTGAAAGCAGATTTGTTTTATTATATTAATTCTGCTGTATTGCTATATGCCACAGGCCCATATGGTTAATGTAATTTAATGCATTAGAGAAAAAGGAAGACGTATTATTGATTGTTCATTTGTTCTGTACATAATTTTGTTTTATCGCCAATCTGAATAATTATTAACCAGCGGTGAGCAGTTACTTATGAATTTAATGTTGGTTTGCTACAGAGATGCTATGCAATGTCAAATTTCTCAACATTAGGAGAGGGAAAAAAAACTCATGGAGACTTTACAGTATATGACTCCCGAATCTGTGTGTAACCTTTGTGTGTCACTGACACACTTAAACAATATTTCTCCACATTTTTCCGGTGCTTTCATATTTTATTTATTAGTAAGAGCGTTTCCCCGTTCGAGCCTTCGTGCTGCCATTCTTGAGTCGTAATTGGACTAGGACGTTGAGTGGAAAGTTTACCGCCACACACATAATTGCCGACTCCTGGCTAGACGTCTGCGTATAAAGAAACCAAGAATGTGCAGACTACTCGTCAAAGTGAAAAGAACATTACAGGTAACCATGTCACTGAAGGTGAAAGTCTGTGATTCTGTTATGCACTCGAAAGTTAAAGAGACGTTTTAACAACACATGTTACTGAATTTTTTTTACACGCGTGTGAATAGAAAGAGGTCAAACAAGGACGTACCAACATCCGGACAATTTTTTTTTTAAAATTCACGAATAACTCCATACAGGAGCTGATAGTCACCCAACCAGCCAAGACACTCGCCTTCTTTTATGGTTCCCGAGGGTTCAGCACCGTATTTACAAGAGCCACTCGCTGCTCCTTAGCCAAAGTTAAATTAATCCAATCTATACATTTATTAGATTTCCTTTGAGATTCTTTTTAATATTATACTTCAATCAACTTTTGTATCTTGTAAGTAGTTTCTGTCCTTGATGTTTGTCAACCAGAACATCGTATGCATTTCATAACTCTCCCATGCGTGCTACATCATCCTTGATTTGATCTCACTATTAATATTTGGTAAACGGTAGTCTTTGTACAGTACCGCCCTCCTGTTACATCCATCCTCTTAAGTACAAATATTCTCGAGAACAAATTTCACGTTCATAAAAAATAAAAGTTAAAATTATACTTCTGTATGTTTTAATAATTTACTCGTAAAATTCATTTCAAAAATTTAATGACCTTTTCAACAGATAACATTACGCGCAGACTCTGATGTGTGTCAGGTTTGGAATTAATTCTGTAACAGAGAATGTTTCTGGATATGCAATACAACTTCTGTGTCGTGGAAGATGGGCTTCTCGCAAGATTTCTCACCACATTAACTAACTAACTAACTCCCTGTTAGCAGAATCCGCAGGTCGAACACCGACAACACCAAAGCCCGCCACCGGCCACGATCCGGAGCCAACGCCATCCATTTACAATCCTCACAGCCCACTTTCCTAAGATCCATCTTGATATAATCTTCCCATATCCTTCTGGTCTGCCCAGTGGTCGTTTTCCAGAAGGATTTCCCCGCAACATTCTGTATCTACCCCTTTCTACACTCCATGCGTGCTACATGACCAGCCCATCGGATCCTCCTATATTTCACTGTCCTCACTATGCTAGGTGACCCGTACAATTTACGCATCTCCTCGTTATGCAATATTCTAAATTTCCCACTTATTTCATTCCTCCTAAGTCCAAATATCTTCCTGAGCACCTTGTTTTCAAATTACCAACTTCATCAACACTACAAAATTCATATAAATGTGAACATACGGGATCGAACCGGTGAACCTAGAAGGAGGGGCAGAAACAACCTTCGCGTTTTAAGCCGTGGATTCATTGTGACTAAAACAACGACAGTGTTTATAAGATAGTAATAATAGCAGTGCTGATGGCTCAGTTAGTATAAAGACCGACTAAGGTAGCAGGAGTTGACATCTTTCTGTCTGTACCTTCTGTGTCAGACTTGCTCCAGGGTGTACCTAGCATCTTGCAGGTCTATTTTCCCGGCGTTAAAGCGGCCGGACAATTAAGGTGACCATTTACCACCATCTAGTGCCCAGATGGAGTTTTCCTCTACTCCCAATGCAAATAACGATTCATATGGGACCGAATCTTGGTCTGGTTCTAGATATGTATATACATTGGTCTGTATGTCCGTGTTTATTTTATTCTTGTGTTGTCCTGTGTACGTGCAGGCCTGTGAGG